AAACAAGAAATTCTGTTACATAGTCCGTTATATTGAGACCTACTTTTGGCATATAAAGTGGTCGAATTAGAGAATTATGTCTGAACCAAAGTTGTAACCAAATGAGTTAGATTTCCAACGCATTTTGAATTACCTCAATCGAATATCAGAATACAAAGTTATGATAAAAACACTGAAAGAAGGTGCAGCTGCCTGTTTAAAACAAGAAATTTCGTTACATAATCCGCTAAAACAACAAATTCCGTTAGTTTTTCCGTTAAAAACAAGAAATTCCGTTACATAGCCACATTTAATATATAGAAGATATTCATTTATTATTAATCGTTTTCGTTTGTACATTACAACTAACATTTTTTAAATTGTTTTCAATATTTCATTGAGACTGCCTGCAACGTACGTTTCTTAAATGTCAATTGATCGGATCCACCACCTGATAATCAACGTTGAAAATAAATGCATATCGACATCTACAGCACGTGAATTATTTTTACAACCACAAGTCTTTAATTTGTTGCATTTAAGCCCCCGTTTGACAGCTGTACGGAGAAAATAGAGTTTTGAATAGTAATTTTTAGAAGAATGTGTGGTTAAAAAATAAGAAAAAATTTTGGGTTGACGTGCAGAATATTTTATTGTGTGAATGTGTAGTTTAAAATAAGTATGTAGAAAAAAATAATTTGAAAATAATGATTGTCAAATTGAAGTTAAGGCAGAACCCTGCTAGGTGTACATGGAAAAACATACAGGCATTTTTTGATTGGAAGTTAACAAAAAAAAATTTCACCATACAGGCACTGCCAGACCAGCACTTGTAGATAGCAAATTATGAGACAATAATTGACTTAAAAATACATAGAAAATAAGAAATTCGAGAGAGACCTAGAGATTCCCAAGAGATTGCTATCTACGTCTAGCAAAAATAGAGAATTTATGAACTTTGCTGAAAATTTGAAATGCATGGAGAGAGAGAAGGAAAAAAAATTCAAAGACAAACCTGACATTATAATTTGAATAATGCTATAACTACATTCCTTCCTACCACGTAGATGACATTCCTTCCTACATTGAGGAAATCTATTCAGAGGTGTATTAGATGAATTCAAAATCAAGAGTGCAAATATTGTCATGTGAAAATGTAAAAGAAGGTGTGAGTGTGAGTGTGTGTGTGTGATTGTTATAATTTTGGAGTTATCATATTCAAGTTTTTGAAGTCGTCCAAATTATATTTATTGATCCTACAGGAAATATATATAGATTTATATATAGACATATATTTATGCTGCTCCTTTCGTTTTCTGTTACATTATGTGAATCGCTGATAGATTTGGAAAGATTACATGTTTCAAGTCATATGTATGTCATTAGTATTTATTAATTATAGGGTCAAGCCAAATAAATATTGTTGGGTTTTTTGATACCCAATAATTTCGGGCGATGATTTAAAACAGTTGTCGGATTATTAAGCGACACCATAGACTTGGCTCGACTCGAAAACGACCTATACTTTTGGATGGCCCAAGTTTGGGTTGGATGGTAATAGGTATTAGCCCATTTAGTTGGTTAGTTGTAGGGATTATTTGGTAGCCCATTTTAGTGGAGTTTGGCCCATTTGTGAGA